TGCTGTTTGTTTGCATACGCCCTGTACCTCCACACACACCCGTCCGGGTAGACTCTGTGCTCGGTCACTCTTACCTTATCCTACTTCCTTTACATCTATCTGTCTCTTTGCTTGATGATCGGCTTTCTCCCCCAGAAGGTCATGTCTACGAAGGCAGCAGCGTCACCTCGTTCACCCATCTGTTCATCACGCCTGGCTCCAAACCAGCGTCCAGAAATGGTCGTGGAGTGCAAGAATGGATGACCGTGCAAGTGGGTGTCTCCGGAGGGAAGGCAGGCGGCCGGGGGACAGCTGCAGCCAGAGGGACCAGGGCTTGTCCTCCCTCCAACACGGCTCTTCAGGCCTGCCTTCCTTCTCCTTATAACTGTTTTCCTTTAATACTTTTATTTGGGCTTTTAGCTACAAAAGTACTATATGCTTATCATTTTAAAAAACACTGTCGGGCATGGTGGCGCCTGACTCTAATCCCAGAAATTCAAGAGGCTGAGGCAGGAGATCAGAAGTTCGAGGCCAGCCTGAGGGACTTAAGCAAAAGTCTGCCTCAAAACCAAAGGGCTGGGGTTGTGGCTCATGGTAAAGCACCCCTGAGTTCAAACCCCTGAGGGAGGGGGAGGGGGAGGGGGAGGGGAAAGAATGAAGAGAAAAAGGAGGGAGGAAAAGGGGAGATGAGAGGGGGAGGAGAAAAGTCTCTAAAATGAAAGTGGAAAATGTCTTCCTTGCAGTGCCCCCTCCTCAGGCCACACCAGCTAGCACGGGGATGCAGACCCCTCATCTGCTTGTCGTTGGTGTTGAATATTCCTTAGTTGTCAATGGATCTTTATTTTATCTACTTTTATGTGGTGCTGAGGATCGAACCCAGCGCCTCTCTCCCACTGAGCCCCAGCCCCCCCTTCATCTCCTTTTATTGTTTTTGATCTTTTTGTTTTTGATCAACTTGCTTGTTTATTTATGGAACTGGGGATTGAACCCAGGGACGCTCTACCAGCCCTTCGTATTTTTTCTCATTTTGAGACAGAGTCCGGTAAGTTGCTCAGCTGGCCCCAAACTTGCCTCAGCCTCCCAAACCAGGCTGCCAGGAGGTGCCGTGGCCGCTGGCTCTCCTTGTCTCCTCTCTGCAGCACCATCTCTGCCAATCCTCCTCCCGTCACCTCGGTTCAACTCAGCAGACGAGAGTCTCCACTTTTCTCCCCACCTCTGAGGAAGAGTCCTTCTGTCCTGGGACTTCCAAGAAACCAACCCCCAACTTTCTGCATTCCTCTGTTCTTCTGCCTCCCCACTCTGCCTTCCCTCAAACCAAACAAAGCAAAGCAAAATGAAGGAAAAGCAAAGCAGCTCAGAGAGACTGCAAAACTGGAATCGCAGGGGCTGGCTGGGTGGGCGATCTACTCTGCCATCAGCCAGGGGCTTGGATGCTTTCCGTGCCTGAGTTTCTTCATGGGTAAAATGGACACGGTGGGGCTGGGGCTGGGGCTCAGAGGTAGGGCACTTGCCTCGCATGCAGGAGGCCCTGGGTCCGATCCTCAGCACCACATAGAAATAAATAAAGATATCGTGTCCACCTATAACTAAAATATAAATATTAAAAAATGGACATGGCATTACCTACGAGATTACAAGATCATAGCAAAGAGCCAAGAAGCTGACGTGTACTATCTGCTTCATGCATGTTGATTTAATTCACCTCCCCAACATCACTCCCTCTTACTGGAGTTTGATTGCTTCCCTTTTGTTTTGATTTTGCTAGAGATAAAGAATACCAAATTTCTTTTTTTCCTACCTTAGATTATTCTTACAGACTAATTCCATCACCTCCCTCCCTTTTTGTTCACTAGGTTTAGCCTGTTTTTCCCTCACCTCCCATCTTCCCCATCGATGGTCTTGGAATCTGCGTAAAGAGGCACAAGGATCACAGTGTCACCACCTGTGATCCCAGCCACTCAAGAGGCTGAGAGAGAAGGATTGCAAGTTTGAGGCCAGCCTCAGCCACTTAGGGAGACCCTGTCTCAAATTAAAAAATAAAAAGGCCTGGGGATGTGGCTCGGTGGTAAAATACTCCTGGCTTCCATCCCCAGTGCCAAAGGAAAAGGTCCAAAGTAATCTGGCTGAGGGTGGGAGGGAACAGGAGAGCTAGCCACAGCCCACCCTCCCACACTACTGTTAGCCACCCAGCCCCCACAGGGCCGGGGGAATTCACTTCTCAGAGCCAAGTCCAGCTGTAGGTCTCGAACCCCACCCCCCCACCCCCACCCCCCCTTCCAGGGCTGCGCTTTATCTTGGCTGCAAACAGTAGAAATGCAGTAGGCCCCGCCCAGCCTGGCCCCCCATGCCAGCAGCTTCTGGGCAGGGGTGCCAGCATGGGGGTCATCATCACCAGGGGCAGTTGGTGGCTGCTCCCCAGCCACCAACGCTTGCTGTGAATTCCAGAGTCACCCAGCTGTGGTCAGCCTACTACACCCAGGGAGGTGCAGACCGCACTGGGCAAGGAGCTCCTCAGCTCTTGAGAAACAAAATCAGGAGGATTTAGCAGACGTTTCTGCCAACTGGGCTCAGTCTGCTGACAACTGGAAGCCCCAGATCCATCTGTGCCAGAAGAAGGCAGAGGCCCTGGGAATTTTTCTGTGAGCAGTTGGCCCCTTTCCCTGGACTGCCTCCCCTTGCAGGGCCCAGATGGGGACAGCTTTCCCCACCCAGCTCACCGACTCCAGAGCAAGAGTTCAGGGAGAAAGGCTAGGGGGGCCCTGGAGAAGCCACTGGGAGCAGCCAGGTCGGAGCACAGAACCGTGTAAGAGCCGGCGGTCAACCACAGACTCAAGGACAAACAAAATACATACGTGAGCAGGTTTTTTAGAGGTAATGATTCCAGAACTTTTGATGAGAGGCAGGGGTGGGTTTGCTTTTTCTTGCAGATCTTGGAGGGTGGGTTACCTGGAGCCAAAAGGAGAGTGGAAAGGAAGTAGGAAATGAGGACTCCAGGAGGAGGAGGATCGGGATGAAGGCAGGATGAGCGGAAACAGCCTGGAGACCAGGAGATGGCACAACACGGAAGCAGCTCTCAGGGGTGTCCCCTGTGGTCGGCTGCACACGAGGCTGGCGTTGATGCCTGGCTGGCTGAGGGTCCCGGGGTAAGGCTCACAAACAGAGGGGTTGGATGACATGGGGGATAAGGGAGGGTCCCTGCTGTGGACAGCTACAGAGGGTCCTCCTTGGTGGGCACATGGCCCCTCACTGATGGGAACCAGGACTCTCATGGCACCAAAGCCCGGTTTTGTGTGTTTTTTGGACCAGTTCATTATGATCCCACAGAAGAGTGGGGTGTGTCGTTCCCTATTTGTACCTGCACGCGATACGCGATGTGAACAATGTGGACCACTTCACTCCCCTGGCCCCACCCTGCAGCCCATCCTTTCTTCCTTCTCTCCCTCCCTCCCTCCCTCTCTCTCACTCCTTTCTTCACAAAGGATTTATCTCAGAGATTTCTACATGATTATTTGGTGCAGAGAACGTTCTCTCCAGCCTTGTCAGTCCGACTCTCTAGCTGCACCTGTCAGAAGCAAAAGGTGACTCACAGTGCCTCACTTGAGCTCCTGTCACCCCATCAAGGCCTCTCCTTTCTCGTCAGTGTCCCTGTAGCTCTTTCTACTGACATCTTAAGCCCAGACTCTACCCTTTTCCCCGTCCAATAAAAACCCCACCCAGAGCTTTCATCCAGGAAGATGAAAGTGGCTGGTGCAGTCACAGACTCAGCAGTTCCCTGAAGAATGGGGACAGGGGTTCCGCTGCACAAACAGCCAACTCTGAGGAAAGACGGGGTCCCAGGCTCCAAGGCGGAGACCACTGGGGAGGGTGGTCTCCCTCTCATCCAGTCAAACACTGGATTCTTGGGATGAGGGTGACCCCAGAGGCAGTTAGCAGGATTAGGCCTCAGCCCTGCTTGGAGTCACTCTGCTTCAAGGTCTGCAGCGAGCAGTGGTTTTACTTTCCCTGGTGCCTTGTCATCAGAAGCGTGGCCGCCCTGAGCAGTCACTGGCTATCCCAGCCAGAGGACATCTTGCAGGATAGAGACCCTGAGGGGTGTCTGGCTATCGCCAGACCAGTTGGGGACAGTAGCATCTGTTGGCTGCCCTCAGGTCCTGCCTTCCACCCCCCATCCCCCCCCCCCCGCCCAGGGCTACTGAGGCATCGGGCTGGGAGATGAGGGGGAGGCACACCACTTTCACCACTGGAGGTTTACGAGGGTAATAATAGGCACCGCTGGTTCTAACTCTACTTCAAAGCTCAAGGGGAATAAATGGTTTGGGGAAAAGTGAAATCCAGACCCATTTGTCACCTCTGGTTCCGTTGGAGCAGCTGTGGCAGAAAGCCATGGGTGGGGAGTCCCTGGGTGAGCAGGACTGTGCCTTTTGGAGCATGGGGGACTGGAATAAGAGGAAGACCTTAGCGGGGAGCAGACTCTGGCTGTACAAGAAGGAACAGAGAGGCCCGCAGCCCCTGGTACCGCCAAATGCCAACAGAGAGGTCCAAATACAGAGGTGAGCATCCGAGGCACAAGAGCCTGGGCATGCACACACTCACACAAACAGACCCTCCACGCAGGCACATCCGCACACACATCCACACAGGTACACACACATGCAAGCACATCGTAACACATGAGCACACTCACAAGCACCAACTCACACACAAGCACATGTGCACACTCATGCAGGCTCATACACAGAGGTACATGCACGGGTCACACAGGAGCATGCGCAGACACAAATTGTCACTTACGCAGGCACCCACCAAAGGCACAGACCATCTGCATAAGCCCAGGCTCCCCCCCACACAAACGCACACACAAACACATACCCTGTAACTCAAGCACCAACTGCCAGGACACTTGAGAGAGTCCTGGCCAGCTGCCCTGTGCAGTTCAGCCTGGGCCGCAGCCTAGTCCCTCCCCCTGCCCCACCCCGCCCCCAATTGGTTGTACAAATTCCCTCCCTTTGCCCCTTCCTGGACACAGCCTGCCTTGGACACCAGCAAAGCTCTCTGCCTCCCCTCTGCCTGCTCCTGGCAAACCCATCGGAACCAAAGCTTACTAGTCAGCAGCATGGGTAAGAGGGGCTTCCAGAAATCACACACTGGCCACCCTGTGTCTGCCGCCTCTAGTTTAAAGGATCCTCCCTCCAGGAAATGCCTCAAAACTGGAGAGGAGGGAGCAGTTGGAGAAGGAAGGATTGAACTCTTCTCCATTTTTCTCCTCTGCACGCAGGTTTCCCTCTCTCTCTTTCCTCCTTGCATTCTCCAGCTTAGCCAGGGGCTACTCTTAGTGCTCTTCGGCAGAGGCAGGGCCAGGCTGCCTTCCTGCAGCCGAGATTCTTAGAGAAATCCCCCGTGTCGCTGTAGGAGATAGACAATCCTGCTTTCAGCCCTGGGCCGGCTTCTTATTCCAGGGAGGAGGGAGCCCAAGCCTTCAATGCCCAAGTCTCTTTCTGGCTGCTCCACGGGGGGGGGGGGGGGGAGTCCCACACTCTCTCACTGGGGACCAGTGTCCTCTCCACCCCACAGTCCTTCTATTCCTCCGTCTGTAGCTTCTGGGTGTCAGGCTGAGGAGTGTGGGTTTGGGAGGGAGTGTTGGTGTCCTTGTCCCTTGGAGCTGGCCCTTCCCTGGGCTGGCAGAAGGCTCAGCAGCCAGACTGGCAGAGAAAACCCACTTGAGTTTCCCCAGGGTTCATCCCAAACCCAAGATGCTCAGAGACCAACCTGAGATGCTTACGACAGAGATCACCTTGGGGAAGAGGAGTGACATTCCCTCCACCTAAGTGGCCTGCACAGCCTGACCCTGGGAAATCTGGGGGGAGTGGGCAGAGCTGGGCTGGGCAGATGCCATGGAACCAGTCACCCTTGGCAGCACCTTTACTTCTCTGCAGTTTGGCTCTGCAGTTTTTGTTTTTTGTTGTTGTTTTTCGTTTTGGTACTGGGGATTGAACCCTGGGTGCTTAGCCACTGAGCCACGTCCCCAGCCCTTTTTTATGTTTTATTTAGAGATGGGGTCTGGCTGAGTGGCTCAGGGCCTCTCTAAATTGCTGAGGCTGGCTCTGAACTCAAGATCCTCCTGTCTCAGCCTCCCCAGCCACTGGGATTACAGGTGTGCACCACTGCGCCTCGCCTCACATCTGTTTTGGTGACTTGGAGTTTGTGAACCTCCTTCTCATCCCCCTGACATCCTGTGCCAAGCTCTGCCATGACTTGGTTTTATAGCAGAACAAGTCTCCTTAATTTCTTTGGACAGGATCTCACGATCTCTCTCTCTCTCTCTCCAACCCCTACCCAATCTGGAGCTGTCTCTCAGGACAGCAAGAGGGACCTGGCATGCTCTTCCCTGCTCTCACAGCCCTACCCATATTTATATAATCATTTCATAATTCCAGCCTTTTGCAAACATTGCCTTATTTGCCCATGTTTCCACACACGTGTCTTTTATATATTTTTTTACTTGGAAGTGCTTGTGAATATGTTGTCTTATTTGACTTTCAAATCTACCTGGAGAAGCAGGTTGGATATTATTATTATTACCTCCTTTAATAGAGTCGGTGTCAAATCTGGAGTGGAGTCAGGTTTCTGGGGTCTGAAATGCTGTTGCTGCTTCTCAGCTTCCCAGACACTGGGCTGCTACCAGCCGGGGTCCCGCCAGCTCTGGCAGGGTTCTAGCCCCTCCTAGTGCAGAGGCTGGGTTCTGACTACCCCTGGCCTACGTGTGTCCCAGGGCAGGCGGGAGGCAGTGTCCTGTCCTCGGAACTCCACTCCAGGACGTCATCCAGCTGCAGGTCGTCCTTCCTGGCTGGCCCCAGACTCCCACGCTGGGGGTCCCAGAGGCTGACTGTGGCCCTGAGGGTCAGACTGCAGGGTCAGGAGGGCCATTCCCTACGACTGCAGGGGGTAGGGGAGTGGAAACTGGCCAGAATAGCCTTGAACCCCAGCCTCCTCTCCCTGTCTGGATGGGTTATATAATCCAGGGCTGGGCCGCCCTCTGGGGACAGGCCCTAGGAGAGAAAAGCAGGAAGTGTCCTCTGGCCCTGCCGGGATACACCGCGGTGAAGCCTGCCAAGCAGACCTTCCTGCTCCCTGAGGACTGCCCCTCCAGAACCACCGGGTTCACTGGGAGCCCTCGTTTACGTCTCGCGGAAGCCCGCGTGGTGCTCTTATCATCCCCTTTTACAGACGAAGCAGAAATTGAGCCCAAGAAGTTATGTAATTTGCCCAAGTTCCCGTGGTAGTCAGAGGTGGGCTGAGGTTGGGACCCAAGTCCATGTCACCACCACTGTGCCGCATGGCCTCTGCTGTGCTTGCCTTCCCCGCCTGCCCTGGGCCCTGCTGGAGTGTCTGTCCTCCCACACCGTCACCATCGTCAGGGATGGAGTGGTGGCGGGCGACCCAGGCCAGGGTGGTGCAGCTAGGGCCGTGAGGGGCCTGGAGTGGGGCCCTGGATGGCAGCGCGTCTGCCTCAGCCTGCCAGGTGCGTGTTGCAGGTGGAAGGGAGGAGCCCTGTCCTCCGGAGCAGGCTCTAGCCAACGTGTCCACTCTTTCCACAGCGACCAAATGTGGCAAGTGCGGCCCCGGCTACCCTACCCCCTTGGAGGCCATGAAAGGTAACCGCCCTCAACTGATTCCAAGGCTGGCAGGGGTGGGGGACCTCAGGCCTGGCCTCAGCCCCCGGGCACACCCAGGGCTGCCCCCAACACTCCTCCCCAACCCACTACCCCCTCTGCCTGCTTGTTACCTTCCAGGTCCCCGGGAAGAGATTGTCTACTTGCCCTGTATTTACCGAAACACGGGCATCGAGGCCCCGGATTATCTGGCCACTGTTGATGTTGACCCCAAGTCTCCCCAGTATTGCCAGGTGAGGCAGGCCTTGGCCCTCCCCAGCCCTGGACCCTGCGCTGCCCTTCCTAGCCTTCTTAGTCCTCCCTGGGTGTGGTGGTGCCAGACGCACACTACACATCTACACCCCTACGCACACTCACCTACAGACAAATCCAGCTTAGGCTGTGATTCAGACCAAAATGAATCCCTGGGGATGCTTTTCTGAAAGTGCACAGAGGTGTCCCGTGGGCAAGCCTCACCTCGGTTCCCCCTCCGTCCTAGGTCATCCACCGGCTGCCCATGCCCAACCTGAAGGACGAGCTGCATCACTCAGGATGGAACACCTGCAGCAGCTGCTTTGGGGACAGCACCAAATCCCGAACCAAGCTAATGCTGCCCAGTCTCATCTCCTCCCGTATCTATGTGGTGGATGTGGGCTCCGAGCCCCGGGCCCCAAAGCTGCACAAGGCATGTCCTCTGCCCTTGCTGGCTGGGAGACCCAACGCACCTGCCAGTCCATCAGTCTATAGGCAGGAAGCCCCTGGTAAACCAGCTGCCTCCTCCTCTGTGCAGGGTGCAGCTTAGGGGCAGGGAGGGAGGTTAGAGGTGAGGTTTCAGGGGGAAGTTTCCTAGGCGTGCTAAGTCGTCATCTCCAGCACTGAGCACCAGGGCACCAGGGAAGAGGAAAGAGGTTCTTGTTCTACTCCGACAAGAGAAAGGAAGCATTTCCCCCAACCCAGTTTTGTGTGGAACCCAGGGGTGCTCTACCACTGAGCTACATCTCCAGCCCCTTTTATTATTTATTTATTTATGCCTTTACTTTATTTATTTATCTTTATGTGGTGCTGAGGATCAAATCCAGTGCCTGGTGCATGCTAGGGAGCACTCTACCACTGAGCCACAACCCCCCCCACCCCGCCAGCCTTTTTTATTTGGTTGGAGACAAGGCCTCTGGTCTTGAATGTGAGATCCTCCTGCCTCAGCCTCCTGAGCTGCTGGGATTCAGGTGTGCTCCACGATGACTGGCTTCCTCGCCAGTTGAGCTCAGGCTTCCCTCAGGCAGAAACCTCCAGTTCTTCCCCTGTTTGTTCATATCCTCTTGGTGCCAGTCGCTCGCTGTGCTGGTTGCTGCTGATATAAAGTCGACACTGGCACATGCCCAGCCTGGGAGGGGCTTAGGGGCCCCTTCAGGACAGATAAGGGAAGAGCTGGTGCTCTCCACCTGGGAAGTCATTAGCGGCCTCTCTGACTCTTCCTGGCTTCTCTGTAGAAGTGGCCAGGCTGAGTCTTTGTCATATTCCCACAGGAAGGGTTGTGAGCGTGATGTGAAGGAGGAGAGGACAGTAGAGGGGTGGAGGTAGGGAGTGGAGAACCCCTGGCCCCGCAGAGTTCTGACCCGGTGCCGCCCTCTCCAGGTCATCGAGCCCCAGGAGGTCCACACCAAGTGCAACCTGGGCTACCTCCACACCAGCCACTGCCTGGCCAGCGGGGAGGTCATGATCAGCTCCCTGGGAGATCCCAAGGGCAACGGAAAAGGTACCTGCTGGCACCGTGTGAAATGCAGCAAGTGTCTGTCCTTGGGGGAGCAATGGAGTAGAGGACCAGGGGCACCAACAGGCCAAGTCCCATGCAATATCTAAAACGTTACCACGGAACTTCCGTGTTTTCAGTGATGTCTCTGAAGATGAGCCTTGACTGATGAGTTTAGTTGAAAGGCAGAGGCAGAACAGTCTGCATCGAGCAATGTGAACGCAGACACGGTCCCAGATAACACATCTATTTAATACCAGGCCTGGCGAGGGCTCAAGTAGATCCCGCAACGCTCGAGACTCAGTCTTCACATTTCCCTCTCACATACGGAATGATCAGGACTCACACTTAGGTATACTGTGTGCCAGACGCAAACTATGGAACAGATGCTGATTACGATTCCTGTTTCCTAGATAAGAAAGTGGGGGGTGCAAACTGGCTAACTGACCTACCCAATATCACAGAGATAATAAGTCACAGAGCTGGGACTCGAACGCAGCAGTCGGGCTCCAGAATCGAGGTTCTAGTGGCCACTCTGCACTGCGTTTCCCAGAGCCCCTCCCCTCCAAGGTCTGGAGTGGATTATCAGCTAAGGTCATTCAGCCAAGGGCACTGCCCTGGACCCCGTTTGACAGCTCTGTCCAGAAGACGGGAGGAATGCGATATTCCTAGACTTAACAATACTCAGGAGGAGACCTCTGGTGTGTTGGCAAAGACATGAAGCTGTCTTGACACCCACAGCCAGGGAGGAGGGCCACTTTATTGTGGGAGGCTGGGGAAGAGAAGCGCAGGGTCCTGAGTTCCAGAAGGTATCTTGCCTTGAAGGGAGGTTAGGAGAAGGTTGAGGATAGAGGGAGGCCCCACCTCTCACCTGACCATCTCTGGGAGGGGCCTTTTGGACACCCAGTGGAGGAGGGGGACAGACAAAGGGCTTGGAGTCTCCTGGAGGTGGCGGAGGGAGCCAAGAGCGGGTGGAGACTCTGGTGCCTCTACCTGACACCCTCCTCCCTTCCCTGCCCAGGGGGGTTTGTGCTGCTGGATGGGGAGACCTTTGAGGTAAAGGGGACATGGGAGCGGCCCGGGGGAGCTGCCCCGATGGGCTACGACTTCTGGTACCAGCCTCGACACAACGTCATGATCAGCACCGAATGGGCACCTCCCAATGTCCTCAAGGATGGTTTCAACCCTGCTGACGTGGAGGCAGGTGAGAAGCCCCCCGTGGGCTGCAGAAGCCTGGAGCCACAGCCCTGTCCTTCTGCTCCAGCCCCACTCCAAGTCTTCTGCCTTCTTCCCTTGTCGTGAGGACCCCAGACTCTGGGGTTGTGGTGTGGGGTGTGTCGATGTGCAGACGGCCTTCAGCATCCTTCTGATCCGCCCCCTCCTTGCCACCTTCTTCCCTAGTCCCTGCCCCACCTATGCCCATGCCCTCCCGGCCCCACCCACCACCCACCTTGAGCCCGTCCTTCGGCTCTCCCCCCACCCCAGGGCTGTACGGAAGCCACCTCCACGTGTGGGACTGGCAGCGCCACGAGATCATACAGACCCTGCCTCTGAAGGATGGGCTCATTCCCCTGGAGATCCGCTTCCTGCACAACCCAGCTGCTGACCAGGGATTTGTGGGCTGTGCCCTGAGTTCCAACATCCAGCGCTTCTTCAAGAATGAGGTATCGTGCCCCCGGCGGCCCTGGGCTCCCAGCCATCTTGTCAGCCAGGGTTTTGTGAGGGTGCCCCCTGATTCCACCAGGCCAGGCTGCTCCAGGAACAGACCAAGGCCACACGCCCTGCCTGTCTTCTCACAGCGCAGGCTGATGGCTGCCTTGTCTGTTTTCCTTTGCTATAACTGGCTACCGTGGTCAGAGTGATTTATGAAAAGAGTCAAGATCTATTTCCCACCCAGGTCTGGATCCGGGCTGGGAGGTTCAAGGTCAAGGAGAGGCATCTGGGGATTCAGAATCCCCGGGAGGCACAGGGCATCACCTAGTGACAGGGGTGCAAACAAGAGACAGCCAAACTTTTATAATAAACCCACTCTCAAAATAACCCATGAACCTATTCATGGATCAACCCACTCATGAGAGCTCTGCCCCGATCACCCCCCACAGGTCCCACATGTCCTAACTCTTAATATCTCACAATGAGGATTAAATGCAACGTGAATTTTGGTGGAGACATCCGGATCATAGCACTCTAGAACCCTAACTGGCCATATGTATTCATTTAATCAAAAACTACTTAGTGCCAACGCGGTGGCACATGCCTATAATCATTGCAAATCAGGAGTCTGAGGCAGGAGGATCACAAGTTTGAGGACAGCCTCTGCAACTTAGCCTATCTCAAAATAAAAAACAAATAGCGGGCTGGGGCTGTGGCTCAGTGGCAGAGCGCTTGCCTAGCATGTGTGGAGCACTGGGTTTGATCCTTAGCACCACATAAAAATAAACACATGAAATCAAGGCATGCTGTATCTACAACGACAATTTTTTTTAAAAAAAAGAGAAAAATAATAAATACATAAATAGGGCTGGGGGTGTAGCTCAGTGATAGAGTGGCCCTGGGTTCAATCTTCAGGACCACAAAAGAAAAAGAGGAAAAAAATAAGTAAAGCTGTTTCATGACGTCAGTGGGAGGCGGTGTGCTAGGCTGGGACTGACAGGGTAAAGCAGACACAAACATGGCCTCCGGGGACCTGCACGGAAGGGACCCTCGTGGCAAGCAGGCCCCGCGTCTACCCTCGCCCTTCTCACCCCCCACTCTCACAGCTCAGCTGGCAGCCTCCTGATCTCACCCTCTACTTCCCAATGTAGGGAGGCACCTGGTCAGTGGAGAAGGTGATCCAGGTCCCCCCAAAGAAAGTCAAGGGCTGGATGCTGCCTGAAATGCCAGGTGAGTGCCTGGAGCAGGTCGGGAATGGCTGGCTGCTTCCTGAGGCCTGGGGAGCCAGAGTCCTTAGTCCCCTGAGCCCACCCCCTCCCCCCCAGGCTTGATCACTGACATCCTGCTGTCCCTGGACGACCGCTTCCTCTACTTCAGCAACTGGCTGCACGGGGACCTGCGGCAGTATGACATCTCCGACCCTCAGAAGCCCCGCCTCACTGGACAGGTGGGGTCCAGCGTCTGAGAAGGGGGAAGGAGGAGAAGCATCTGGGATGGGGAGAAGGGTGTGAAAGAGCTGGGGGGCCCAGGGGGGAGGTGGGGAGCCAGCCGGGGACCGGACCCTGAAGGAAGCTAGCTGCTCTTCCTGCAGAGCCCCAGACGCTCACTGTTGTCCCCTCCCTCTCCACCCCTCCCCGCCCAGATCTTCCTGGGGGGCAGCATCGTGAAGGGAGGCCCCGTGCAAGTGCTGCAGGACCAGGAGCTCCAATGCCAGCCGGAGCCCCTGGTGGTCAAGGTGAGGACTTCTCCCTGTCCCACCCTCCCCCAGTCCCTGTCCAGGAGCGTGCAGCGGCTGGGCATGGCGTCTTCTCGAGGTTCGGGTCATGCTCAGGCTCCCCTCCGAGGATCTGGTATTCTTGAGTTTTAAAATTCCATTCTCCCAAGGGAAAACGGGTGGCCGGAGGCCCGCAGATGATCCAGCTTAGCCTGGACGGGAAACGTCTGTATGTCACCACGTCTCTGTACAGTGCTTGGGACAAGCAGTTCTACCCCGATCTGATCAGGTGAGGAGCGGACTCTCTGGCTCCCCTCCAGCACCCTCCTCTCCCAGAAGGCTCATTGGGTTTCTGAAGACTCCTTGGGGTCCCCATCCGCACCCCCACCACATAGATGGCCCCTTCGGACCCTGCTCACTCCCTACACCCACTCCCTACACCCACAAGACCTGGAGGGGAGGGAGTGTCCTCACTTGCCCCCTTTCCTTTTTCCACCAGGGAGGGCTCTGTGATGCTGCAAATCGATGTAGACACTGAAAAGGGGGGGCTGAAGCTGAACCCCAACTTCCTGGTAGACTTTGGGAAGGAGCCCCTTGGGCCGGCCCTAGCCCATGAGCTCCGCTACCCAGGAGGAGACTGCAGCTCCGACATCTGGATCTGAAGTCCGGCCCTCGAGCCCCTCTGCCACCTTCTGAGCCCTCCCTTCAGAGGGACTTGGCCTCTGCCCCTTGGCACTTTGTCCTGCCCAAGCCACGCCAAGACTGTTGAAACATCTGGACCGGCATCTCTGTGGCTGGTCACTCCCGTGCGGTTTTACATGAGCCCCCAAAGCACCAAGAAATAAACGATGAGCCTGTTCTCAGACCACCTTGTCTTTGCAGGGCACTGGACTCCTCTTCCACTGACCGCTGTTGCAACACGCAACTAAATCAGTCAGGGTCACTCCATGCGAATGGAGTTGGCACGAAATAATCACACAGAGACAGAGAAACGACCCTTTTCTTGGGGTTCAGCGGTGGCTCCCCGTCCCCAGCTCCCACAAGGGAAGCAAGAGAGGCAGACCCAAGGGAGAGAGCACACCCGCCTGAAGCCCATTTATTAAAGGGAAAGTTCCACCCAAATGAGGCAAGGGATTGGGTTTCAGGGGGGTGTGGCCCAGTCCCCTTGGGTGATGCCCACTCCCATGGCCTCATTCCCCCACCGAGCGGAGATGGGGGTCCCCCTGCCTCCCCGGCAGGGAAGCCATCTCCACCCTTCCATCACTGAGGCTCAGGCTCATGGTGGCCCCCGACAGACCCTTTCTCTCTTGCAGGGGGTCATGGTGACCAGTTCACACCATAACTAGGGTGCAGGGGGTCATGGTGACCAGTTCACACCATAACTAGGGTTCTGTCTAAAGGACTAGGGTTGCAGCCTCCTGTCTCAGCCGTGTAGGCGTGCGCCTCTGTGCCCAGCTTCCCTTTATTTTCAGGCTGATCATGGTCTCATCACTCTACACGGGACCCTACACCACTGAAACACACCGCAAAAACAATGCCGAAACAGACCACCCAGACGTCAGCAATCTGTGTGACCCCTGCCGTGCCACCCTGACACCTCCCTCTACTACACCCCCCAAGGTTTCTCCCCCACACACCTGCCTCCGGCTGAATGAGAACAGAGCTGAGTGTGCCCTGCAAAACGTCAGGCAGTCATCTAGGTCTGCCAGCACCGTGGTCAGCTCCACTGGTTGGCCTGTGAGGCCAGGTGGAAGGTTCTAGAGAGATCGCTGGGCCCAGGAACACCCCTAGAAAAGCTGTACCCCAGTCCAGAGGAACAAAGGATGTGAGAGAGCCCTGGGAGATCTTCAGCCCGTGGGGTCCTTGGAGAGTGACCAGCCCTTCACGCGGGGCCATGGTTAATGTCAGTTTCCGGGAACATCATCTCAGGGACAGTGAAGCCCTCTTTCCTGCATCCCGTTCTCCCTACTGGCGTCTTCCGAGCGTTTGCCTTGATCCATTGGCCTACTGCTCTGATATCTGCTCGGGCCACACGCTGCACGCTATTCGCGGTCCCTTCCTGGACTTATGAGGTTGACGCCGGCAGGCTCTGCTCTCAACCAGCCTGGCCTGCCAGGAGACCACAGGTTGTGCATTCTCCAGAGTTAGTGTACAGGAGAAGAGCAGGACCCACCCCTTCCCACTCTGTTTTTCGGAATCCAACCCAGGGCCTCACACGGGCCAGGCAGGTGCCCCCCACCTCCAGCCCCAGCCCAGCACCTAGTCTTCATTTTTTAAGAACAAACTCAACCATAATAGCAACAAAAAACTCGATGTAGGTGGACATGAGTTTGTAGGATCATGAAATGAGCACGGAAAGATACTTTCTCGAGTACATTCTCTTAGATGGGTGAGGATTTTTTATGAAATTAGACAAGCTGTTTCTGGAACTGTTCTGGACATGTGAATGTATAGTGTTCCAGTTTCTAGTGCTGTCTAACAAACCACCTCCTCAAAACTCAGTGCTTAAAGCAATGACATTATTTTGTTTACAAATTTACAGATTAGATAAGACTGAGTGGGACCAGCTTGCCTCGGTGCCATCAGTATTAGCTGGGGCCGTACAACCATCTGATGGCGCACTCACTCCATGTCTGGGTGTCCCTACAGGCTGTCACTTGGAATTTCAGCTGGGGTTTTGATCAGAGCATGGCCTTCCCAGGAGGCAGCTCAGCTCCCTCACACCATGGTGCTGGGCTCCAAGGGTGAGCACACCAAAGACAGAGTGAAGCAGACGTTGTGTGACCTATTCTAACCCAGGCTTGGAAGCCCTGGAGCACCACTCCTACCCTCCTACCACATTTCATTCAGTGAGGCACAACACAGAGGCCTTCCCAGCAGGGAACAGGAACTAGGCTCACCCCCGCTTCCCCCACAAAGGGAGAGCAACAGGGTTCTGAATAGCCTGCTCTTATGACCTTATTTGAAAAATGCAACCTTCCACATATAGGAATAATTGTGTGTATGTGTGTGTGTGTGTGTGTGTATGTGTGTGGGGGATCGAACGATCCTAGGGCTTCATCCATGCTAAGCATGTACTCTGCCACTGGGCTACACCCCCAATCCCAGGAATATATTTTTTTAATTAACAAAACAGAAATTGTCAGCCTTAATAAATATCAAAATAGGGGTGAGGATGTGGCTCAAGCGGTAATGCACTTGCCTGGCATGTGCCGGGCGCTGGATTCCATCCTCAGCACCACATAAAAATAAAATAAAGATGTTGTGTCCACTGAAAACTAAAAAATAAATGAATAAATATAAAAATATACTATAAAGTTAATAGAATTAACAAAATAGAATAAAGTCCAGAAATAGGTCCAACTATACAAAGCAACTTATTATGTGAAAAAAAATATATGTCAGGGCCGGGCCTGGTGGCATACACCTGTAATCCCAGCAACTTGGGAGGCTGAGGCAGGAAAATTGCAAGTTTGAGGTCAGCCTCAGCAACTGAGTGTGAGACTCTGTTTCAAAATAAAAAGGGCCGATGAGCTGAAGATGTAGCTCAATGGTTAAAGCACTTGCCTAGCATGAGCAAGACTCTAAATTCAATCTCCAGCACTGCAAAACAAATAAATGAACAAATACTTAAATAAAATAAAAAATTAAAAGGGCTGGGGATGTAGCTCAGTGGTAGAACCTCCCTGGGTTCAATAAAGGAGGAGGAGGAGGAGGAGGAGGAGGAGGAGGAGGAGGAGGAGGAGGAGATGTCAAGGGTATTAAAATAATTGGCTATCCATTTAAATTAGATACCATGGAAGACATTAATTGTGAACAACTATTCCCAACCTCTTTTGCCTTGCCTATCATAAGTAACTTCTGTCCTCAATTTGTGTGTGTGTGTGTGTGTGTGTGTGTATGTGTGTGTGTGGTGTATGCATGTGCATGGGTATGTTCCAAGGGATTGAACCCAGGTCCTTGCAATGCTAGGCAAGTGCTCTACCACTGAGCTACATTCCCAGCCCTTTCTATTTTGAGACAGGGTCTTCTGAACCGCCCAGGCGGCCTTGAACTTGTAACACTCCATCCTCAGCTTCGCAAGTAGCTGGGATTACAGGAGTGTGCCACCAAGCCAGGCTCTATTCTTAATTTTATAATAATAATTCTATTACTTTTCACTGTTTAATTTTTAACTACATATGTATTTATCTGCAAATAATATATGGTTCAGTTTTGCTTGACATTAAATATTTACAAATTGTACTGTACCATATGTTTTTCTGAGTTCTTTCAGTTTCTGCATTTCATCCGTGTGGATGTATGGCAGTAGCTCACTCATTTCCACTGTTTATAACATCCTATCCTGAATATACCACAACTTATCCGTCTACTGCTGATGGACATTTTGGTTATTTCCAGTTTTTGCTAATGCAAGCACTGACTACAAACATTACCACCTGTGTCTTTAGGGCATATGTCTAGACATATGTAAAATTGCTGAGATATTTACCATATTCTGAAATATTCACATATTAAACTTTGCAAGTAAAAAAAACAAAAAAAAACTTTGCAAGTAATATCAAACTGTTCTATGGAATAGTCATTCCAAATTATACTCCAACAGCAGTGAATGAAGGTTTTTGTTAAGTCTACAACCATGCCAATCCTCCATGTTGCCAGACTTAAATTTTTTTCCAATTCTATTAACGTGAAGTGGTATCTCATTGTTTTAATTTGCATTTTCCTGGTTACTATAGCAAACAATTTCTCATACGATTTTATGAGTCATTTCTGCTATTTTATTAAATTCCTATCCATTTCCTTTGCCCACTATACATATGTTTTTAATTTTTTATTTGTTCTTTTTAGTTATACATGACATTAGAAAGATTTTAATTTTTTTAGTTGTTGATCAACCTTCATTTATTTATTTATTTATATGCAGTGCTGAGAATCGAACCCAGTGCCTCACACATTCTAAAAAGCACTCTACCACTGAGCTACAACCTCAGCCCAAGAAAGTTTTTTAATTTTTTTTTTAGTTGTAGATGGACACAATATCTTTACTTTTATTTATTTATTTTTATGTGGTGCTGAGGATTGAACCCAGGGCCTCACATGTATGACGCAAGTGCTCTACCACTGAGCCACAACCTCAGCCCCATTAGAAGGTTATTTTGACATATCATATATATATGGAGTATAACTTCCCATTTTTGTGGTTGATCATGATCTGGAGTTACACTGGTTATGGATTCATATTGTTGTAGGGACAAACGAGGCAAGGCACTGAAGATACCAGGAAACAGTTTTGTTTGGCTGCAGCCAGGTTCAGGGGGCACAGCTTTTGCTGTAATCCATCAATCCCCTGAACCCTGAGTTCAGGGAGTTTCAGAGTTTTATACCCAGCGTGTAAGGGGAGGGGCTCAGAAGTTCACAGTCTGCAGAAGTTCACACAAAAGAAGCTTTTTCCTTCACTGTTCTGGGCAAGTTAACCCTTCAAGGACCACACCTGAGAAGGGGAGAGCTTCTTCTCCCCTTCCTTTCCTCCCCCTGCCAGCTGTTACCATGGAGCCCAGCTGTAACTTATCTTAAAAATGCAGACATCTCTGTGAAGCCCAGCTCAAGGCCAGAGGCCTTGTTTGCACATTTCTTCAAAGTACTATACTGGATACATTAATGAAAAACTAGTAAGGGGTGTCCAGCACCTGGAGTGCTGGTATCTTCTCAGCCAGTGGCCAAGCTAAACAGGGTGACATGAAAATAGGAAGTTTATCTACAATGGACTCTTTTGCTGACAGTCCTAAAATCAGCCATAGTGAAGAGGGCTTTTCTGTGGAGAAAGGGGGTGCCACTTCAATTCCCCCCTTTAATG